ATATATATATATGTGTATGTATGTATGTATTTATGTAATTATGTATGTATGGTTTGAAAATCATAAAAAATAATTTTGGTCAATTTAGTTTGAAATCATAAAGTCATCCATTGCGGGTGCAGGTTGTAATAACATCAAGTTGGACAAGGCAAAGGGCTCCTTACCTCGATGGCGTAGGGTGTAGGGTTGATAATGCCAGATGCAAGTTACCTTAACTTAACTTGTTGTTTTATGATGAAATTGGTGAACATGTATAAGATAGTTGGATCTATTACATGTTATATGATGATTAAATTGTGTTATATGTTGTATATGGATGTATGATGTTGAATTTGTATGCATTGATATATGATAATGTATAGTTGATTAAATGGTTGAAAGTTTGAGTTTAGTTGTATGTTGTTTATTGAGTAGTTGTGTTGAGAATGTTTAACGCATGGTGTTGAAAGTTGTGTTTATCGAACTAGGACTATAAGAGAAGTTGTTTTAAAGTTGCATATCCCTTTATGAGGATATTGTATTGTGGTGCTCCAGAAGCCTAGTTTGTGAAAATGCTTCTTGGGAAATGATTTTTGAAGTGGATAGTTGTGTCTCTTCTATGACTTTAATTGATGTGGTATGTGGGTAGGTTATCATACCAACTATAAGCAACCATTATTGCTTCATATATAGATAATGTTGAGACATACTGTATAAAACAGTCAAATTAGAGTAAGGTACAAGGTTAAGGATCAAAATCCCTAATTAAGTATTGAAATGGAAAAATATTTAGAGGATAATCGACAGACTAATCATATAGGTGACTTAATTAATCATGGAAGTCAATGTTGTTGTAAACTCACACACAAGTTGTTTTATATATCCTAGTAGAAATATTAGACATCTTAATTTAACTGACGACATCTAAAAAATCATTTTGTTAGGAATTGATATCCCAATTAACTATTGATCTAATTGAATTAAAAAATTTGGGTTGTTGATTTGATAGGATCAAGTCACTTAAACTGCTCACATGTGTTGTAAGAAATTTCCTAATTGAAATGTATGATGGTGCATATAATTGTTATGTTGTGTATATGATGTGTTGATTGAATTGTGTTGTTCATATGCGATGTTGACTCGTGATGAGATGTGTTGTGGTGTTGCAACTTGAGGTGTTGATGTTGTGTTGTTCAAGTTGATAGTATGTTGTATTTGAAAGAGGTAGTTGTTGATGATGTGTTGCATAAGTTGAGTAGGTAAGTAAATAAAGTAGTTGTTTTTACTTTCATACTCTTTATGTTGATTATTTCAAACACTACCTTAATCTTACATGTTTCCATGTGGTTGAAATATGATGATTATATTTTGTACAGGAGCAAAGCATAGATAGTTTATTAAGATGGAGTTCCTTTTGAGGTTGTTTTTGTGTTGGTGGTGCTAATCTTTTGGAGTTACTCTTGTATAGAGATATCAAGTGTATTTTGTAGATTTGACTGACTACTAAGATTATGATTTGTATCTAGATTATTTTATATCTTTATATGCTTGTACAAAATTTATGTCTCTATTGTTATTGAAGTTCTTACATGTATATATTAGTATATATTTTTCCAAATAGCCATTGAATAATAATTCAAGGTATTTAGTTGTGTATGTTTCTTACCGTTAGTTGTGAACTGTT